TGTCTTTCGCATGGATCAGATAGGCCACGAGAGCCTGCACCTTGGATGAAGAATCAGGGGCAATGCCCCCTATCCGCCTCATGAAATAAGTAAAATAACGTTAAAAGCCGTGGTATTTCACTTGCACCATAGAGCTCCCACTTATTCTACGGTCTCACATCATTTCACAGAGCAAGAAGGGGAGGGGGGGGGGAACAGACGCCTCCCTCCCCCCCTCTCTCTCTCTCACACTTACACACACACACACACACACACACACACACACACACACACACACAATCAATCAATCAATGCGATTGATTGATTGATTGATTGATTGTTTTATTTTTTTCAGTTCTTTTTTTTTTTTTTTTTTTAACAGATCTGCCACCCCAGCCAAACTCCCCACCTTACAGTGTCTTTCGCTTGGATCAGATAGGCCACGAGGGCCTTCACGTTGGATTCAGATTCGGCGCTTTGGTTCTCCGTTGGTGGAATATAAGTGGTGCGAGTACGCTCTCATTGACATTCGGATTCGGCGCTTCGGTTCTCCGCTCGTGGAATATAAGTGCATTTCTGCTTTCTGGACAGCATTGGACTCTCTGTCTTTCAATGTGATTTTGCATTCTGAATTTCTGTCATTTCGCTATGGCTCATTTTCATTCCAATATGGCGGGTTTGCAAAAAAATAACGAAAAAAAAAAGTGTGCCATGTGGCTGGCACCTGTTCAGAGGAGGAGGAGAAAGAAGACGAGGAGGAGGAGGAGGAGGAGGAGGAGGAGGAATAAGTGGAGGAGGAGAAAGTTACAACGGGTTTGCATAAAAAAAGGTGCCATGCTACACCTGTTCGAGGAGGGGGTGGAGAAGAAGAAAGATATGGCGGCCCAAGAGGAGGAGGATGAAGAACAGGAGGAGGAGGAGGAGGGGGAGGAAGATGAAGAAGAAGAAGGGGAGGAGGAGGGGGAGAAGAAGGCGAGGAAGTTAGGCACCAATCAAACCAGCTGAGGCAGACTTGATACACTTGCGGAGGCAGGGAGGTGGGTCCAAAAAAACGTCACTTTCCTGCCCGATGGCACGAGGTGTGGAAGGAACCGTTGCTCGGAAACCCGCAGATAGTATAGATGACAAGGGTCTCCCCGTCTGATTGCACATGGATTCTCAGTGGGTCCCCTGGGCCAAGAAAGGGATCTTTATTATAGGAGATTTGTGGGATATAGGGAACCAGGAAGAGATAGCAGATATCTGGCGCCAGGTTCAGGGTGAAGAGGTTCCCCCCTCTCAATCTCCTGCTCAGTCAATCCCCTGGTCCTCAGGGTAATCAATGCTGGCAGGATCATACCACACTTTTTCTGAGGAACTCGATGTGATTTGAACCTTGTCTATGTAAGGGACGCTGGACCCGGATTCCAGCAGGTGCTGCTCCCCACCAATAGATGGAGCCCTCCCCAGGTGCTAGCGGTGTCTGCTCTTACCAGCACCACTAGCACAGACGGGTGCTTTTCAGAAAAAAAGAAAAAAAAAAGAAAAAAAAAGAAAAAAAAGGATTTGTGGGATATACCCGCAAGTTCCTGGGTCAAGAAAGGGATCTTTATTATAGGAGATTTGTGGGATATACCCACAAGTACCTAGAAAACAAAGAACTAATTAAGGCCCCAATTATGGAACCTGAGGACATAGACAGAAAATTACAACGTATAAGACGAGTCATCCCCCTTAGCTGCGAGACAGCGCTGGAGCGAGGAGAAATGCTGGGCAAGACAACAAGGTGATGGTAGTAGAATGTTGTCCAGGGTCCACGGCAGTTTTACCAAAGTATGAAGTCTCAACAAACATGCTAGACTTGCAGGTTAATTCATCAACCGTCCGGGAGCCAATTCATTCGACCGTCCGTTAGCCAGGTGGGTGGAGCTCACACGGGAAGGAAGAACAGTTGGATTGTGAAAAATTGATGGACGAATTAAAAAGGATAAGAGTAGCCTGTACATTATGAGATGTTCACCCCATTCGTGCGGTACCCTTTAACTCTTCCTCCA